TCTCCCACCATTCCAGACAAACGTGGAACACAAATGGATTGCCTCTGCAAAGACCTGCCAGTCCATTTTAGGCTCCCCAGGGTTTCCTAAAGATCACTTGGATAGAGTTGCCGTGCCCTCTCTCTTAGGCAAGCCAGAGAAGGTGTTCTGATTTGTCCTGTGAAAAGAACAGATGGATTAACAGAGACCTAAACAATGGAGGAAGGAGGTGGGGATCACTGGATGGCTGGGCTCTAAAGCACAGGCAGAAGCGTAAGGCTTCCAGAGGAACGGGGAGGGATTCAAGGGAAGGAGGATCAAAAAAGCCCAGCTGTAGACACATCTGTAGGTACCGGAGGGGAAATCGCAGGAGATTGGGACTGTGGGGCTACACTGGGAGATGGTGTCATGTGGGTCTGAGCCCCGAGGGTACCCCCCCATCCCCTTCGGCAGCCTGTGAAGGAAGACAACCTCTGTGGCCCACCAGGTCACTTCATTATCTCTCAGGCCTGGAGGTTTCTGGTCCTCACCAAGGACCCACCCCTTCCTTCTCTGGGGAGGGCCACCTCCACAGCTCCTGACCATCTGTGTGCACAAGACCCACTTGTACTTTCTCTTCTCTGGACAGGGAGCTTAGCCTGGTGAGCGGTTAAGAAGGCTTATAGGGAGCCCAGTGGCCTCTGTTCTTATCCTGGCTCTGCCCCTTACTTGCTGTGTGACCTTGGGTGAGTCACCTGGCCCCTCTGGGCTTCGGGCTCCTCATGTACAGAACAGCGGTAATAACACTAGTCCCTGCATAGGGTTCCTGAGAAGTTTCTATGAGCAAATACAAGAAAAGCACTTAATATAACATCTGGGGCAGAGTTAAGGGCTCAGTATGTGAGTTATTTTTAATATAATTCTAATCAAAAATGAATTCAGCTTTTCATCACAGAACTGATTTTCTAAAAATAGGTCAAGAGAGTTGACGGTAGGGGTGGGGCCTAAAATTTGCTTGACCAAAAGTTCAAGAAAACTCCCAGCTGTGGATTGCAGCTATATTTACTGTGCTTTGGGGCAAAGTTTCCTTCCCACAGGGACACTATGTGCAGAAGTCAGAAGTCCCAGTGGCCACATCCCTCCCTGTCTGTCAAGTTCAACCTTGCTAACAGCCCTCAGAGCCTCAGAAAACATTGAGGGGCTAGAGGGTCACTAAACACACCCAGGGCCAGGAAAATACTCTCAGCTTATCAGACTTAGAACCCAAGGAGAATCTTTGAGGTCCCCTCTACGGGGAAACCGAGGCCCAGGAAGAAAAAGGGCCTCATCTGAGACCTCGTGGGTTGGGGTCTCTGAAGCAGACCCTGTTCTGCTTCCAGCAAAGAGCGGTTCTCCTCTCCTTGCTTCCCAGTGTCAGACTCAGATGCCACTGACACATTATCGCCACCACTGTGGCCCAGACCCTGGGCTTGACACTAGGGCTTTATCATCTCACTGAATCTCCCAAGGCACTTTTACTATCATCCCATTTCACAAGATTGGCAAACTGAGTCTAGGAGAGAAGAGCCTTGTCCAGATCACACAGCTAGGAGGTATCAAGGTCGGTAGGCCTCACTCCTCTGGTCTTCCTTATGTTGTTCTGAGACTTCAAGTCTCAGCCAGTGGAGGTGCCCCAGGAGTCATTCATCTGGAGCAGGAATTCAGTCCCTTGGACTCAGATCAGCCTCTGGCTGCTATGTTCCCAGCAGACACTGTTCTCAGCTGGCAGGACCAGCTGTGGTCCAAAAATAGAGGGAGCTGGGTGTGAGAGAGAGTACCAAAGACTGGTTCTTTGGGGTGTGTGTGTGTGTGTGTGTGTGTGTGTATTTTAAAGATTTTATTTATTTATTTTAGAGAGAGAGAGAGCGAGCATGGGGGGGGGAGGGTCAGAGGGAGAAGCAGACTCCCCACTGAGCAGGGAGCCACTCGATCCTGGGACTCCAGGTTCATGATCTGAGCCGAAGGCAGTCGCTTAACTGACTGAGCCACCCAGGCGCCCTGGTATGTGTTTTTAATTATTTTAATTAATTTGGAGATAATTATGATTCATATGTACTTCTAAAAACAAAACAATACAGAGGGATCCCAGGTACCTTTACCCAGGTCCCCCCCTGGTGGTGACATCTTGCAAAGCCATAAGACAGTATCATAACCAGGATACTAACATTGATACAGTCAAGCCCCAGAACATCCCCATGACCACGGTATCCCTCTTTTTGCCCATTATGGCCACATCCACTCCACTTCCCACCCACCTCACCCCTCCTGAGCCCTGACGACCACTAACCTGTTCTCTCATTTTGTCATTTCAAGAATGTCATGGAGATGGAATCCTACAGTAAGTCATCGATTGGGACTGACTCTGGTTTTGAATGGGCAAGTTCTCCTGACCAGTGCTCAGGGCTTGGAGCTGGTGTAGGAGGGAGACCCCTGTCCGTCTCCTTCCTGGGGGTGACAGGACACATTCCCACCCAAAAGGAGGACTTTGGGAAGATTTAGATCTTAAGCTCTCAAAAAACAAAGTCTGCCACGATTGGGCCAGAATGGTTATTTGCGGGGAGGAAGGGAGGGTTGGGCCCTCTGAGCCTCAGTTTTTCTGCATTTTCCCTCCTGGTCCCAGTTTCCCTCTGCCCCTTGGCTTCCACCCAGGTTCACACCAGGGCCTGCCCTTTCCCCAACACATCTGCTAGTTCCTTCCCTGGGCCCATAATAGACCATTGTGTAAACAGGGCCTACGTGATCAAGACATGGAAAAAGGAAGCAGGAAGACGTGACAGGAAGACACTTGGGCTGTCAGAGCAATTAAACAGACTCCTCCAGGGCCTTCACATGCCCGGGAAGGTCTGGGTCAGCAGGGCAGTGTCGGGCGGCTTTGGGAAGGACATAATAGGCTCTGGCCCTGTGCTCACATTAGCACACATTCCTGGCAGGCAGGGTCCTGCAGGATCACATGGAGCACGGCTAGCCTGGGCTCACCAGCCTGCCAGGACCAGACCACAACAGCAGGGGTTTAATAGGAGAGAGGCTCATTTCTCTGCACAGTGACTTCTCACAGCCAAAGGCTCTCATCTTTTTGCTCGCTGTTTCCAGGGTGCAGCCCTCGTCTGTGTGGCCTCACCTCTCTCCCTTCTCCTGCTGTGTTCTGCCCTCCTTGGTAGGAGGAGGAAAGGAGGCAACAGGAAGACAAGCCTTGATGAGAAGTTGCACCTGGCATTGGTGCTCACTTCCTATTGGCTGGGATTTGGTCACATGATCACACCACTGCGAGGGAGGCTGGGAAATGTAGTCCTTTATTCTGAGTGGTAGTGTTCCAAACCGAACGTCCAGGGTTCTAGAGGGGAGAACAAGAATTGGGAAGCTAATGACAGGTTCTTCCTCTGCAAAACAGGGATCACAAGAACCATTCCTCTTCACGCAGCGTGCTTATGAAGGTCATGAAGCTTAAACGGGTTGAGCACTTAGAGCCAAACTGGTGGGAGACCTCAGAAATAAATGTTAGCTGTCCTTATTTCTTTTTACCGAATGTGATCCCGCATGTGACACCCTGGGTCATGTGTCAGGTCATGGGTGCTGCCACTGCCATTGTTCCTGTTAGTGTCAGTTTGAGACAGACTTTCAGCCCAGAGCTCTCTCGTGGACCCGACAGCCCTCTCCCCAAGAGGTTTCCTTACAGACCCCTACTGATCCCCTGCTGTCACCATGCACTGTCCCCACCCTGCCCCCAGACAGATGGCCCAGCCCTGCAAGAGTCGCACCAGCTCAGCTGCAGGAAGTGGCTATTCCCTCTTGCACGGCTTTTCACAAATGGTCTGGTTTGCTGTGCTCAGTCCCCAGCATGCGAGGAGTCCAGGGATGCCAGCACTGACCCAGGACAGCCTATCCCCTTTGGCACAGATCCAGGATTCTGGCCCAGGCCCTGTAGGGGGTAGTGAGGAAGGGGAGATGGAGCCCCCTCGTTCAGAGAATCAGAGTCAGAACACCGTGGACACTCTGGCGCCTCACGAGACCACTATTCCTGGACATCTTGTCCCCGTGGCTTCTCTGCTCCCTCACCCAGTCCTGACACCACACGGCACTTCTCCAACTAGCTAAGATCCTGTTGGCGAGGATGAGGAAAGTGAGTGAAGGGGCATTGTGGTCTCCCACCTGCCTATATGGGCCTCAGAGAGTTCCAGAAACTTAGTACCCAGATTCTGACAGATACCCCATCTCAGGCCATAGGGAACAGGCAGCTCACTGTCCCCTCAAAGGCAGAAGGAGTCAAGGCAGAAAGTAATCTGGGCTAGAGAGAGCAGGACAGGGTTCCTGGGCTGCCCCACCAAAGACTGGGTGGGCTTAGGAGCCATGAACGGGGAACAGGGTGTCAGGGTCAGGTCCAGTGGGCTGACGGTTAGGAGGGAGGACCTGCCTTCAGACACATCCCACGAAGGCACAGACATGATAAGGGGGTCAACAGGCTCCTAGTCAGGGCAGCAGGCAACTCTGGATCCCAGACCTGCCGCAAGGCTCGCTGCTCCCGTGTGCCTTCAGGACCCCTCCCTCCCACCAGTCCCGGGCCTTCAGTAGCTCACGTGGGCTCCTCACTCGCTCCAGCCAAGCAGACACTAAGTCAGGGAAGAAAACCAAATCCACACAAGCTAACACAAGAACATCTTCAGAGCCATCTCTGAGTGAAATCATCACAGCAAACAAAAGGACGCCGCTTACACCTTTTGAGTGACCAGTGCGTGCTTTGGAACAGTCTGTGGGCACGTGTATGAATGTGGACTGCAGCAGACCCTGGAAGAAGAGGCTCTGGAAGGAGTGCAGGTCTGGGTTCTGGAAGGGCCGGCCACGCTGCCGGCTCTCGGCACCCACACCGCAGACCCAGTTCACCCGAATGGAACCAGCTGTTCAGGCCTGAGCAGAAGGAAGACTTCTGGGGAATAGGTCTGCTTCTCTGGACCCGGAACCCCCAACCCTAGCCACAGACTGATGGAAATCTCTGTCTCTTCTGCCTGCAGGTGGAGCTTTACAATACGGACCCACTCATCTGCCGGGCAGGTCTGAAGGTGTGCTTCGGCATCCAGCTGCTCAACGCCATTTCGCGGGTGGAGCGGGCCCTCCCCAAGCTGACCTTGCCCTTCCTGCTGCTCCAGGGCTCTGCCGACCGCCTTTGTGACAGCAAAGGGGCCTACCTGCTCATGGAATCCGCCAAGAGCCAGGACAAGACGCTCAAGGTGAGCAGCTGCCCCCCTACCCCGGCACCAATCCCCCAAGGCAGGGGGAAGATGGCACTGGTGGCCCCCGGCCCCCGCCCCGGGAATAAGCACCAGAAATCCCAGGGATCTGTTAATTCTAAGGGAGTGCATGAGCTACTAGCTGACCGTTCTCATGACAGAGCTTATAAGGAAGAAGGAGGGAACACTGAGAAGTTAGCAGTTCAGAAAGAGCACCTGCAGCCAGGCACTGAGCAAAAGAGGCCCCCGAGGGGGTGTCTTCAGCTCTGTCATGACCAAGGTCAAGGGCCTGTGTTCTGCCCGGCCCCCTTCGGTGTTGGCCTTCGGTGGCAGCAGCAGCAGCAGCAGCAGTAGTAGTTCCAGCCCAGCTGCCACCACCGGGGCCTCTGAGCACACAGGGGCAGTGTTCCTGCTGGGATCTGGTCTTTGAGGGATTCTTTAAGAGCGTGTCCCACAGAGGGGACAGCACCTGTGGCTTAGCCGCGTGCCATGTCAGACACAATAGACCACAAGGGACCACCCCGGAGTAGCTTTCACAACGGTACATGTCGTTGTGGGGTTGAGATGAGCCCATCTCGTTTGCCTGATGGAACTGGGAAGAGCCCCAGCTAGAGGAGCGCCTGCTGGGTACCCGTCAGGGGACAACTGCTCCTGAAAGTGGCTCTCTGTGGCTGGTTGGACAGACACAGCCCCGGTGTGCATTCCTGAGCAGACACATCTTTGACCGTGATACCACAGCCCCAGCCACCACATGTGGGGGCCCTGCACCCGGGGCTTGTAGGGAGAGGAGACAAGTCACACAGATTCCACGCCTACTGAGTGGCAGAGTCAGGATTCGAACTCAGGTCTTCGGCTCGAGCTCCTGGCCCTCTCCTCCCTGCACCTTGCTGACAGGGATGCTCACATCCCTACCAGCCATCAGGTGCTCCCCTCGCACCATTAGGAAGTGCAGACCCCAGCCCACACCAACCAGCAGATATGGGTCTGTGGATGAGGAGAAAGGAGAAAAGGGAAAGGAAGGCTGGCTGGTGTTACTGCCCGGGGTGGGGGGGGGCATGTAAAAGCAGGCAGGCCTGCAGCCAGAAAGTAGGAGCCTCCTGCGGCCCACCCTGGCCTTGGCGCCAGGAAGACCACTCGGTTAATCATTAATTCAGCCACTCATAGGCACCTACTCTGTGCCAGGTCTGGGGAACACACAGGCCAAGTCCTATTCTCCCATGTGGCCTGCATCCCAGCAGAATGAGCAATAAACAGAAATCACACTGGGTTGATGAGGCAGGGGGTCGGTGCCAGGGGTGGGCTGGGTGACCAGAGGCAGTGGTGAAGCTCTTACTTCAGATGGGGTGCTCAGGGAGAATGGCAGAAGAGCATTCCAGACCAAAGACCCCCGGTTGGTGAGATCATGGTGTGTGAGCCGAGCAAGGACGGGGAGTCCTGTCCTGTGTGTCCCTGGACAGTCAGGACATTTTCTCTCGGATCCACGAGGGGCCACTGGAGTGTCTGGGGCTGGAGAGTGGCCTGTGCTGACTTCAGTTCTCCAGGTGGCCTCACAGCTGCCATGTGGAGACACGAGTGGAGGGCAGGAGCCGGCTGGGAGGGATGGTGATAGAGGGACCAGGGCGAGTCCTGGGCGGTGGGCTTGCACAGTGAGGAGACGCAGCATGTGTTCTGAGATGGGTAACATGGGAGAGAGATCTGGGGAATATCAAGAATTTCATTTTGAGCTACCTATTAGAGAGTCCCAACAGAAATTCAGAAAAAGACCGGGGCGTCTGGGTGGCTCAGTCAGCTGAAACCTTGATTTCAGCTCAGGTCATGATCTAAGGGTGGTGAGATCCAGCCCTGCGCTCAGTTCAGAGCCTGCTTGAGATTCTCTCTTCCTCTCCCTCTGCCCCTCCCTCCGGGCTTTCAAAAGAGAGAGAGAGAAAGGAAGGGAGGGAGGGAGGAAGGGAGGGAGAGAGAAAGAAAGAAAGAAAGAAAGAAAGAAAGAAAGAAAGAAAGAAGAAAGAAAGAAAGAAAGAAAGAAAGAAAGAAAGAAAGAAAGAAAGAAAGAAAAAGAAAGAAAGAAAGAAAGAAAGAAAGAAAAACTCGGAAAAAGGAAAGCGGGGTCTCTAAAAGGTACTTGCACATCCATGTTCATAGAAACATTGTTCACAGTAGCTAAGAGGTGGAACCAACCCAGTTGTCCATCGATGGACGAGTGGATAAATTAGATGTGCTCCAGACCAATAATAGAATAGTATTCAGCCTTACAAATGAATGAAATTCTGACTCATGTCACAACATGGGTGAACCTGGGAACATTATGCTCAATAAAATAAGCCAATTGCAAAAGAAAAAGTACTGTATGATTGCACTTGCATGCAATATCTAAAGTAGTCAAAAAACCATAGAATTAGAAAATAGAATGGTGGTTGCCCAGGGCAGTGGGGAACGAGGAGAGGGAATTTAATGGGGCCAGAGTTTCAGTTTTGCAAGATGAAAAAGTTCTAGAGATCTCTTGCCCAACCATGTGAATATACTTAACACTACTGAACTATGCACTTGAAGATGATTAAGGTGGCAAATTTTATGCTATGTTTCTTAACACGGTATTAAAAATAGGAAATTTGGAGGTGCCTATTAGCAGTCCCACTGGAAATGGCAAATCAACAGTCAAATAGATGCATCTAGAGTTCAGAGAGAGGTCTGGCTGGAGACAGAAATTCCTGAGTCACCAGAACATGGATGGTTTTCAAACCACGAGACCGGACGAGGTTACTCCAGGGAGGGAGGAGGAGGGCCATGACCATGCCTGTGGGCCACACCAGCCCACAGAGGTCGGCAGGGCCCTGGGTAAGCCTAGACTGAGAAGGGGCTGCTGGCAAGGCAGGGAGACAACCAGGAGGGTAGAAATCCGTGCAAACCACAAGAGGAGAGGGTTTCTAGAAGGTTAATGCTGGCCAACTTTTGAATGACGCTGAGAAGTCAAATCATATGAAAGCAGAAAGTGTTCCCTGACTCCTGCAACGTGAAGGTCACCGGAGCCCGTGCCAAGAACGCTCCTGAGGGCTGGTGGGAGGGAAAGTGAGGATGGAATAAGCTGTGCACCAGATGGAAGGCGGGGATGTGTAGACAGAGAGTGGAAATCACCCTTTGGAGATGGAGGCACAGACGGGTCCATAGCTGGAGAGAGAAAGAGAGTCAAGGGAGGGTGTGAGTTGATTTGAGAGGGAGTGCTGGAACAGGATGGGACATTTAAATGTATCTGAACCACCATCTGATCAGAAGGCAATGACAGCATATAGAAGGGAACCCTCGGCGCAGGGGGGTGCGCCTGGAGCCCCGGCCGTTCTGCCCCCCCACACCCCTTCCCCACCTGCACCTGTCCCCTCCTGTGGCCCTGACCTCTTGTCTTTCCCAATTTGCAGATATACGAAGGTGCCTACCACATTCTCCACAAAGAGCTTCCTGAAGTAACCAACTCCGTCTTCCGTGAAATAAACATGTGGGTCTCCCAAAGAACAGGGGTGGCGGGAACGGGGTCCCCACCCTGAGTGCACCGGCTACGTGGCCGGCGCACGGTCAGGGACGTGGGCAGAGGATGGGCAGAAGCTGGCTTCTCACGCTTGGCTTGCCGGGGGAGGGGGGAGGAAATCACAACCTGGAGGAATCCCTAGCACGATTTTGTTGATTTTGTTGTATACCAGGCTGCCTGCTACTGGGTCTACCTTAAGGTGTAGATACATTGTGAAAAAATGGAGAAGGGTCACAGGGAGGAGATGTACTCCGATGTCCTTAAAACCAAGTGAAGCCTCTGCCCTGCCTCTTCCCCCGCCCCCCCTCCCACAACAAGGTTCCCAGGAACTCCTGGTGTTCCTCGAACACCTGACTGCAATAATTAGAGGAGTCTCCCCACCCCCCGCTTCCCTCCAGCCCCCACCACAGGACCCTCCCCAACTGGCCCCGCTCTGTGGCCTTTCTCTGGCTGTGGGATGAGGTGGCGGGGGCAGCTCCCCCGGGGCAGACTCACATGCACTCCAAGGCCCAGAAAATGCCCGGGACTTCCTTGGCACGAGGAGCCACCCATGCCACCCATGTCAGCTCCTTGTCAGCCTGGAGCTAGGCTTTGGGACAGGATGAGGTTTGGCCCACACAAAGAGGACTGGGCAGGAACCCCTCCTTGTTGCCTGGGGAACCCGAGGCTGCCCACAGAGTGCTTTACACATTCAGAGGCTGCTCTTCCCTGTGGGACCCGCTGGACCTGACACTATGAGAGGGGAATGGTATTGAAGAGGAAACATTTAATATATAATGTATATTCTAAAGCAGGGATTATTTGGGTGGGTGGGTGGGACCAAGTGTGGGAGCCTGATGCCCCTGCACAGGATGGGACAAACTGGCCGCAGGGCCCTAGGTCGAGGTGTGAGCCCTGGAAGCAGGGCTCCCCTCTCCAGCCCCAGCAGTGGGCGGTGCCAGGCGTGTCCCTGGTCCTGGCCTGCCCGCAGCCACCCTGGGAGCCTTGGTGCTGGCAGCACAGCTCCCTCTGGTGGCAGAAGAGGAGAGTCCAGGCTCCATGGCCCTGCCCAGGGCTGCAGCACCGCCCCCCCCCACTCGCAACCCCCTTTCCCGGAGGCCAGGACAGGAGGGGCCAGCAAGGGCTGGCATGGGGCCACCTTTCCCAGCAGAGGGCCCCACAGCGCCTGACCTGCCTTTCTCAGGTGCCAAACCCCACCTGCCCACCCTGGGCCCTCCCTTAGCGCCAGCAATAAATGGGGATCACCGGCCATTGCTGGGGGACTTTCACTTTCAAATGGGGCTGTTGTTACCTCCTGAAGCTCCTTAGTGCACATATGACCCAGGGTGGGGGTGGACCCGCGAGGGGACGCCTGCTCGGCCTGCAGGGTGCAGTCAAGGGACCTCAAGGCCCTGGATGAGGCGGCTGCTACAGGGCCAGGCCCTCTGAATTTGGGGCCTGGGAGTTGGGTCTCCCACCTCTTCCTTCAGTGGTGGGAACTGTTGCCCTTCACCCACACCCTGTTCTGGGGCTTGCTCCGGGTCCCCAGAGAGGAGGGTCCCCCTGCTCTCCTTCCAGGGGCCCTGACCATGGCGTAGCCAAGCGCTGGTCACCCTCCAGAGGGCAGACCCCGGGCCCCAATGGAAAGTCATGCTGGCCTGGGGGCTGAGGTCTGTGTTCTCCCGCCCTTCTGGGCGGTGGGAGTGGGAGGCTAGGGGCAGGGAGAGGGCAGGGCCCATGGCCCCACAGAAAGAGGCTTTCTGTGACCCATCTCCCTTCTCTGGCTTCTCTTTCGGAGGAGAAAAATGTAAAATATGCACTGAGAGAGAAGGTCAGCCCCTGCTTGTTCAAATTGGGCCACTGTATGAATGTTTCTGCTCCTCGGCTGAGGAAAAACAGAAATGACACCCACAAACCCCCCAAACCTCGGGCACCCCTAAGCCCAGATCAGGAATTCTCGCCAAGAGCAGGGATAACGCAAGTCACACGAAGCCACCTCACCTCCCACCCCTGCCGCCTCTCCCAGAGCATGTGCCGGCTCGGCCCATGGTTTGACCTGGAGTGATTTGGACGCACGGATTTATTCATATGAAAGCTCTGACAGAGGCATATTCAGTCACATTTACATATCTGGTTAAAGGTTAAAAAATTGCCTATATTAAAAAGAAAAAAGAATTATTTGGAAGCAGGACTGTCTCCTAAAACAGGAGGGGACAAGGACATGGCTACACCCGCTGCTGAATGGGAGCAGGTGTGGGAGGCAGACACCAGCTGCGTCTGTTGTCCCACTGGGGCTGCACCAGGGCTATGGGTCCACCTGTCCTGGGGGAGTTCTGCAAGGCTCGAGTTCATTCTCGGTGGTGACGGCTCCATGCCGACATTGGGAGCTTCAAAGTCATCCCTTCACCATGACGAGGAGCTGAGTTTGGAAGGGAAGTGAGGTCATTCTTGGCCCGGCCTCAAGAAGGAGAGAAGGACCCTGGAGACGCACACCTCCAGGACCCGAGGTCCAAGCACTGCCATGGAGGCAGCACCTTCCTCTGGAAATCGGAGGTCACCCCGGTTCATACAGAAACCATGGGGTTCAGACCTGGCAGTCCTTCTAGGAAAAGATGCCCCTTGTAGCAGGAATGGGGGGGCGGTGGTTGCTCCTTTGCTGGGATGGGGGTGGATGGTCACAGGTCCCCCCTCCCAGCTTCCAGGGGGCACCGAAGGATGCCTGGGAAACCCGCCTGCTCTGTTCTGCACTGTGGCAAGGTCCCGTGCTACCTTTTCTCTCTTTCACCAATCACTAACATAAACCCACTGGGGTCACCGTGATCTTCTAAGCAGTTTGCCACTTACTGTCCCTGCAGCTCAGCCACAACCCTCTGTGTGTACCCTTACTGGGACTCGCGATCCGTTCAGAACTATCAAAGGAACCATGTATGTCACAGCTAATCCTAATAAACCGGGTGTTTTCTGCACGTGGGTGAGGTCTGTCTGTCCCATCCGAGACTACAGCACTCCCGGTACAGAGAAGAGCGGGCCCCCTTGCCTGGCAGTATTGCTGTCTGGGGTGAGCGAGTCATCTGACCCAACCCAGTGGGTGGGGACTGGGTTTTCCCTCCTCTGTTATTGGGGACTTGTGCGTGGAGCAGGCGGCTTGCGGGCTTGCTCCTCCCGACTTGGCCACCGCCGGTACTGGGGAGCCCGGGCCTCCCGCAGCTCTGGACTCCACGGCTAGTGGCCCCCACCCCAGGCGACTCCAGTCCATTCAGCGCTCGGTTCTCCTGCTGCTGGGCTCAGGGCTCTGCATGTCCTCCTCCAGTCTTGGGTCCCACAGTCAGCTCCGCCTCTACTCTGCCTCCTGGGTAGGGCCATAGGCCACTTCCCTCTGACCCCACAGCTGTTGCCCTCCCCTCCCGCCAGATGGCGACAGCACCCGACTTGAGGGAAGGGAGGGGGTGCCCTTTCAGCCATCCCCGTACAGCCACAGGAGGGGGCGTTGAGTCAGAGGTGGCCTTCTGGCCTCCCTGCCTTCACCCTCTTCCTCCCGTGTCCCTGGGCCCCCACACACCAGCCTCCCTGCTGGCGACCTCGGAGGCCTTTCCTAACCACCCGGTCCAAAGCCAGCACACCCACCCTGGCTCCTTCCCCACCTTCTGTATCCCCAGCACACTACTGCCCTCTGACAGGATCTGAGTTCTGCCTGACTACACAATCGCTCCGTCCCTCCACCAGAGCCGAGCTGCAGGACGCTGTGGGCTTGCTTAGGCCTCTGGTCTCCAGACTTGTCCAGTGAGGGAGGGAGGGGATGAAGAAGGGAGGGAGACCTGCTGCACCAGGTATGATGCAGGCCCTGGCGCTGCCCCCCAAAATGAGCACAGGGGGACACAAACCTGCCACCTGGTGCCCAACAGTTGTGGGGGCAGGAAGAGGGGCGATGAGAGCACAGGGGACCAGCCCAGAGGCAGCCCTGCAGGAGAGCAGAAAGATGAGTAGCAGTGGGGTGCACAGGCCCTGTGGCAAGGTGGCTTAGGGCAGGACTTGAGGGTGGAGGGAGCTCAGGTTGGCACCCACAGCAGCACCCGAGGATAGTGTAGTGAAGGGGTCCACGGGAGCGCTGCAGAGTCAGGACAAGCCTCAGAGAGCCCACAGCCCTGACTGGAGAGGGTGTCGTTGGAACACAATGCTGCCCCTGTAGGAGGGGGGTCACCTGTCAGGCTGTGGCCTCGGGTAGAGGACACAACCGGGAACAAAATGGAAGCTAGCAGGGAAGGGCAGGCTGGCCTCTTTCTCCTCCCACCTTCCCCTCTCACTGCAGGGAAGTCTTAACTACATGGCCCAAGATGGCTGCTCCAGCTCCAGTGACTGCACCCTCATTCCAGCCTGTTCGAGGGGAAGAAAGGAAGGGGCAGGCACGTACCTTTCAAGGAATAAACCAGAGCCCGCACTTAGTATCTCAGATCACATCTAGAAGCCACAGCTAAATGCATGGGAGGCTGGGAGGTGGTGGGCAGGTGCCCACAGAACAGGACAGGCTCAGGTATCAGGGGAGAGAGCAGGCTGTGCCTGAGAACAACGTGCCTGCACTGAGGCTTTCAAGGACAGGAGGCCCAGGGTCGGTATCTGCCTGGAGGATGCCGTCGGGGCGAGAATGAGCGGAGGTGAGGCTGGGCCTGACTGGGGCGGGGACACTGGGGACAAAGGGGATCCGTGGCTACTGAAGAGGTAAAAACAAGGTTTGGTGACCCTTGAGGGCAAAGGGGTCTAGAGGGAACAGAAGGAACGCATGCACATTTCCAAAATGCTACAGATAAGAAAAGCTTACAAAGTAAGCCCTAAAGTGTCCCTGTTATATCTTCCAGGAAAGAATGGAAATTCACACTGAAATTCACATTGGTTGAGCTGCCACTCCTGGCAGAGGCTTCCTCATGGGGGCCCCGTGGAATTTCTACACGAGTTCCACTGGTTGGTGGTGTTGTTCTCATTCAGACTGGTCAGCAAAGGCTCCAAGGGATTCAGTGATTGGCTCAAAAACAGCAGATTCAGAGCCCCAGCCCAGGTGTCCAAGACTCTGGTGCCGGATACCCCCTCCCTACCAGAGAAGGCAGGCGATGACAAAGCCCCAGTTGCTGCACCGCCAATGCAATGCTCAGATCTTAAACCATCTGTTTAAGGGCCTGGGATAGCCTGAGGGTGGCTTGCTGGCTCAGACATAGAAACTCCCAGAGGCCTAAGGGCCCCAGCCCTCCCTCAGGCCTGCCAGTGAGACTTTCCCCAAGTGAGAAATTTTTATGCCTTCAGGATGTCTGCTCGGGGACGAAGGCCACTCCTAGTGCTAGCAAGAGCACATCCAACCGTATGACGCCAGCACCAGATGTCAGCCTCAGCCCCCAACAGGGGCTCTTGGGTCTGCTGCAGTGAGATGGGACATTGAGGACTGTGCAGTTTTCCAGGTGGACAAAAGAACATATGCAGAACCGTCACTCTCTTTTTTAAAATTTCTATCTCTTTGCAAGTGGGTAAGATTTTAATTGATGGTTGAAAAAATGTGTTCTATTTCCGTTATAGACCTGCCTCATGTAATGACTGTTTGGGTCAGGACCAGGATCAGGGTGAAGCCAAGTAAGGCCCTTGCCTTGGACACAATGTAAAAGGGGCACCAAGAATTTTCATGAGCAAGATAAGTAATGCTCCCATGTGATGTAAATAAAATATGCATGATGAACCAAATAGCACTTTAAAGACAGGATTGGGATTCCTGATGTTTCTCCCAGCTCTGGCATGATTCAGCACACAGCACTTTACTGACCTTGCCTCCCCGCCAACAGCCCACCGTGGCTCCTTTTTCTCTCCCCCGGTGTGGGTGGGGGGGACAAGCCGACCACATGTTACATCTTAGAGACAAGACGTGTCTGTTGCTACTTGGGTCAGAGTTCAGCTGATCCAGTTTTCCTTCTGTGAAACATGTGCCAGGATCTTGAGTTGGGGCAGAGGACGCCCCGAGCAACCTCAGGGCCACGGGAAGCTGAGCTACACCGGCTTACTACCATATCCTTCCCCATGGCTCTCTCGGAAGCTGTTTTCATTGTTTCCTGCTTGCAACACTGCGCTGAACACCTTCCCCACCTTAGACCACAAGCGGCTGAGAACAGGAGGAAGGTGTGATGAGGTGGCTGGTGAACGCCCCTGTGGCGGAACTGCTGAGGGGACCGGCCACCGTCCCAGGGAACGCGGACTCTCCAGGCCCCAGTGCCTCCCTGGCAGGCACAGCTCACCAGTCTCACTCTCTCAGGGACCTGCGAAGTGCCACATCCAGAGCATTTCCCCTGAAACCTCCCCCCTTAGGTTTTTCCTTACAATCTGTAAGGAAATATTTCAAATATTTTAAAAGATGGGTTCGCTGTGTGAGTTCACTTTTGTCCCTAGTATCTACTTTTAATTTTTATTTTTTTTAAAAGATTTTATTTGACAGAGAGAGAGAGAGAGAGAGAGAGAGCGAGCTTGCACAAGCAGGCAAAGTGGCAGGCAGAAGCAGAAAGAAAGGCAGCCTCCCCCCTGAAAAAGGACCCCCATGCGGGACTCGATCTGACTCTGGGATCGTGACCTGAGCTGAAGGCAGTGGCTTAACCCAGGCGTCCTTGTAGCATCTATTTTTTTAAAAAAATGCATCGTAATCAGGGTGCCTGGGGTAGGGGGTGCAGTAGGTTAGGCATCCGACTCTTGGTTTCAGCTCAGGTCTGATCTCGGGGTCATGGGATCAAGTCCCATGTTGGGCTGGTACCCAGGGTGGAATCTGCTTGAGATTCTCTCCCTCTCCTTTTGCCCCTCCCCTGACTCGTGCTCACTTTCTAATAAATAAAATCTTTTAAAAAATGCATCATAGGGGGCGCCTGAATGGCTCAGTGGGTTAAGCCTTTGCCTTCGGCTCAGGTCATGATCTCAGGGTCCTGGGATTGAGCCCCGCGTCGGACTCTCTGGCTCAGCAGGGAGACTGCTTCCCCCTCTCTCTCTGCCTGCCTATCTACTTGTGATCTCTGTCAAATAAATAAAATCTGTAAAAAAAATTTTTTTTAAGTAAATGCATCATAATTTAAAAAAAATTTTTCTAACGTTTAAACTCACTACACGTACCTTGGCACATGTAGGAGTTGGTGTGGGGTCTAAGGTGGGACTTGTGGCTCTTGTGCCACCAGCCTGGACCCACCCTTCCTGTCTGGGTGCCTAGAGCAAGCAGAGTGACCTTGCAAAGCTTAAGTCAGCCCCTGCCACACCCTCCTCGGCTCTCCCTCCACACCTTGGGTGGAGCCCAGCATTTCACAAAATACACAAGCTCACTCCGTGGGCCTGTGTGGGCCCCTTCCCAAGTAGCAGGAACTCACCTTAAATGCCCCAAGCGAGGAGGGGAGGTACAATCGAGTCATCCCAATTGACAGCTGGGTAAACTGAGACACAGAGCTGTAACCAGGCAGTTAAGAGGTAGAGCCAGGGTGGGAACTCTGGCCATGCTGGCCTCCCTTGGTCTCATCCTGGGCCTCTTTAGGCTCCTAGGCCCAGCCGCCCTCCACCCAGCACACCCCACTGTCCACTTGGCAAGTTCCCCTCCCCAACCCTCCCACACATCATCTCCTTGCCAACTGCATACCTTGTTCAACTGACCCATCCAATCTTACAGCTGACCCCATGTGAGCACTGTGCCAGACCACTATGGATGAAATGCACGGGGGACTTAAGGAAAAGACCCCAGAAGTTGTGGAACTGACGACCAAGAGTAAAAAGGCGCAAAGGGCCAGAACAATAACTGCAGGGAGGGCCAGGAGCCCCACTGCTATGCCCCGGGCAGAAGGGGGCAAGCATCAGGGTATTTGTGCCTGGGCCTCAGGACCCCAGGGATTGGGGTGAGGGACTGGCTACAGGGCATCCTGAGAAAGCCACCTCTGACATCCTTGGTAACCACAGCCCCTGTGGCAGAGCCCAGGAGGAAGGCTGGCCCTGGGCTAAGGGCTCCCCACAGCCAGTGGCCAGTGGGCTGGGGAGTGGAGGGAGCCAGGCTGGGGCTAGCTGGGGTCACTGGGCCTCCTCCTACCCCTTCCACTTCTACCCCTCCTCCCTGGCTCTCCTCTTGGAGCTGTACAGCAAGCTGCCACTGCAGGGCTGACGGAGGCCTCTCCCTTCTGGCCCTGCCCACCACCCAGCCCTTGGTCCTTGCAGGTGGAAAACGCAGGTGCTTGTGGGGAGACACCATGGCGGGATGAACAGCCTCTGGTATACAGGCAGTGCTCAATAAACAAGTGCTAGAAACCAGTGTGCCTTGGAAACCAGTCCTTTCCTGGTGTGAGGGGGAAGCAGCCTCTGCAGTCGCCCACTCAGCCCTCCCACTAAACCTCCCCCAAGACCACTGAGGGCGGTGGGGGGTAGGGAAGGGAGGGGTCGGACTTCACCAAGAGGGCCCCAGAACAATAGCTGCGCCTGAGGGGAGCCCCACTGCTAGGGAGGCTGGGCCCAGCAAAGAGGGGCTGCCTATTCAGACCCACACACACTCCCAGCCCCCAAGGAGCCCCTGTTGGGCACCAAGGCCTTCCCAGCTTGGATGAGGGGCTCTAAACCCAGAGCTTCCTCCCTGGCCCTCCCCAGCGCCTTCCCGGGAGCCCACCCAAGACACAGGCTCAGGCTCCCACAGTGAATCAAGCTTTATTGCCACACACAGACTTTTCTGCTCCCTGTGGGCCAACTCTGCACTTCAGGGAAGCCTGCTTGCTGGCTTGGCTTGGAAGCAAACACGCCAGGGCCAGGAGAGAGGGGGTGTGGAGGGGTTCCGGGGGAGGGAGGCCCAAAGAGACCCCTACCCCAGGTTTCCCTGAGCAGTGCCCAGCCCCAGGGCCTTGGGGGCTGGCTTGTGTTGGGGGGGGCCTCACCCTGATCCTCCCCTGGGGCTCCCAGGCACGTGGGGAGAGGGGTACCCCATGGAGCCCCCTCAGCCCATCACGATGCCCTCAAGGGTGCAAGGAACAGAAAGACCAGCGGCAAATGTGCACACGCATGCATGTGCACGCCCACGCCACGTGCGGTCAGCAGTCCAGGCCGATGGACACCAGCAGGTCCTCCAGTGCCCGTAGCCGCTGCTGGGCCTCCTCAATGGCGCTGTAGGTCTGCACCGTGCTAGCCACATGGAAACGGATGTCGTCCACCAGCGGGATGGAGTCTGTCTCCTGCCGGGCAGCCACGGCCGCCGCCTCCTCCCGCACGGCATCCACAAAGTCTTCCCGCTCCACCAGCTGCAGAGAAGCCAGCTCAGAGCCCGCCTGCCGCCGGCCCTCAGCCTGCCCCACCCACCACGGCTCCCATGGGCCCACCTTCTCGATGACCTTGGCCATGTACTCTGTGCACTGGTCCTCAAGGCGCGCCAAGCGGAACAGCTTGGCCACACGCCACACGCCCACCACGCTGTCCTCGTCCAGCAGGTGGGCCAGACTGCGGCCACACAGCCGCTTCAGGCCTGGCAGCAGGTACATGTCGGCCACGCTCAGCACATCATAGGCTGCCTCGGGGGGCAGCTGCAGTGAAAGAAGGGGTGAGGGAGGGTGTGCCCCAAGGTCACCAAGGCCACTCAGGGCCCTGGCAGCAAGGCAGACCAGGAGCTCCAACCCACACCTCACAGGGCCCAGACTGCTGCAGGCACTGTGGGACCAGAAAGGCTGAAGGGGTCTGGGGTTCCCGGGCCCCAGGCAGGCTTGCAGGCCAAAAGCAGCAGGGCCTCAGCAGGGGAAAGAGGCTGAGCTGTGAATCACACAGAACGTCTTCTGAAATTCTAGCTGTGGGACCCTCCTAGGCAAGTCACTTCATCTCTGTGTGCCTCAGTTTCCTCCTCTCTGGGAGGCACAACCATGCCTGCCTCAAAAGACTGTCAGAAAACAGAAGGTGCTCCTCTAAACTGAGGCAGGGGTGCCCCCACTAAGGCGGTGCAGTAACTCTTTACCTGCTCCCCCACCCCCAACACCGGGACCGCACGCTGGGAGTGGGCTCAGCTCCCATCCAGACTTCGGACAGGCACAGGCAGCAGGCTGAAGACAGGGTGGGCAGGACCTCTGCTAGCACGTCCAGGCCACACGCACTGCTCCACCAGGTCAGGCACTTTGCCTGGGACACACACATCCCTCCCCATGAGCCCTTGAAAGAGAACAGCTATCAGCGACCCTGCTCTCTAGACGGGGAAAACTAAGGCACAGAGCAGCTAAGTAACCGGCTCTGAGGTAACACACAACTTGTGGACGGCTAACCCCAGTGTCAAACCAGGTCTGCAGCCCAAGGCCACACTTCCAGCCATTAACAGCTGTCCTCAGTGGCAAAGCTCCCTCAGGAACTGGGGGGGGGGGGGGGGATCATGGATCCCAGATGGCATGGGCCAAAGAGCTGTGCCACAGGAGGAATGAAGTCGAGAAGGCAGGAGGAATGGAGGCTGGAAAGAGTGTGTGAGTGCAGTGGCTGCTGGCCTTAGGACTGGGGGTGCTACGTGCAGCGAGCACAGGGCTAACATCACAGCCTGGCCGGTCTCCTGCGCCCTCCTCCTGACCAGAGGCCGCATGTCCCAGCCTGTGCTCTTGGCAAGTGAGTTCTCTCCAGAGCCACAGAACTGGCGTGTGTGGCCTCCACCTGGCCTATGACAAAGGAAACTGCTTGCCTCGTCTTCCTCTTCCTCCTGACACATGAGTCAGCCCATACCCCGACCTCCAGATGCAGAGCAGAACGCCACCTCAGGTGCTGAGGACCAGGTCCAACCCGCTCTGTTTCGCAAGGAAGCGTGAGTGGAACACAGCCACACCCGCTCACTCCTACCCCGGCTAGAGGGTGCTTGGCGCAACGGCAGCGTGGACCGGTCGGGGTAAGGATGCTCGTGCACACGGCACTTACACCTGGTCCCTGGAGGTCTGCAGACCCCTGCCCTAGGCCATGTCACGGGGACAAGATGGAGGGGACAACCTGGGTCCCAGAGCACGCACTTGGTGCACGCACCTCAGACATGAAGGAGAAACGAACTTCTCTCTAAGTTACCAGATGTGGGTGCTCTGTTTATCGTTTGTCACAGTGGCCTTTTACATACACACACACACACACACACACACACCCCTTCGACACTAGCTCTGGCTGCCCGTGTTGCCCACACGTTAGGGATGCTCTGGGGCAGGTGAAGACCCAGGGACACAAAAGAACAGGGCACAGAAATCCAGAACCTTGGGCGTGGGCTGCTATCTAGAGGCAGGAGGCTCAGGGTACCCCACTATTGTAATTCAGGGTTACTCCCCCTACCCACCCTCCAACTGGAGAACTCGGGGACCCCAGGTGGCATATGCTCATGGTGTGGCTCCCACCACTCCTTCCTGCTCTGGAACCGACTGAGGCCCCCTCTGCCTGAAAGATAAATCCAGACATGTCCCCCACTTCCTCTCCAGGCTCCTGGAAAACCAGCCCCATGAAGCCAAGCAGGACCTGGGTCCTCCCTTTAAGCCCCGTGGAGACCCGGGCTGTGGCCCTGTCCTGACTGTCACACGCCCCCAGCCCAGCGCCCCCAGCCCGCCCAAGCCCCGCACCTCTGTGTGGTCGCTGTAGATGTAGTAGAGCACATGCGTGAAGATGTCGGGCGAGATGCCGTGGAGGGTGATGGCTGGGAGGCCGCCTGAGGCCTCCAACTCCTCGTTCTCTCGGAAGTGGTCATCCAGCAGGGCCCGGAAGTAGTCACTGCGGCCGCAGAAGAAGGCCTGGGGGAGGCTGGGCTCAGGAAGGGCAAGGGCTGGGGCCCATGCCCAGAGAGCTGGCCAGGGACTTAAGGTAAGGGGGCGATGGTGTAGGGGGGAAGGGACGGCACCTTGTGGCAGAGAAAGCTGCAACCTTCCACCCGGAAACAGACATCGGGACAGCTGTTGAAGCCGTCAGGGCAAGGGAAGGGCAGCTCCCCGAGATCACCCTGGGGGGGAATGGGAAAAAAAGACACCCTCAGAGCAGGGGTGACAAGGGAGAGTGGCCAGCCCCAGCCAAAAGCCTGTTCTAGCTCAACCCCTGAGGGCTGGACTGCTGCCCCATTTGAAGACTTGAGTACAACACCAACAACAAAAGTAGGCTCAGAAAAGGGAAGCAACGGGGGTGCCTGGGTGGCTCAGTCGGTTAAGCGCCTGCCTTTGGCTCGGGTCATGATCCCAGGGTTCTGGGATCAAGCCATGCATGGGGCTCCCTGCTCAGAGGAGGAGCCTGCTTCTTCCTCTCCTATCTCTCCCACTGTTCCTGGGTGCTGTCAAATAAAATCTTTCAAAAAAAAAAAAAGAAAGAAAAAAAGAAAAAGAAAAGGGAAGTGACTGACTTCAGGTCACACAAGGGTTGAACCCGAGAGTGGGACCTGTCTACCACAGCTATGCCCACATCGGGCCCCATCCCAGGGTGCCCTGCACTTACACGGAGCTCGGGGGGCAGGGCGCAGTCGGCCAGCAGGGCCATGTCCTCCCGAAGCCGGGGGTCTGCTGGGGGGGACTCGATAGTCAGCACCTTCACGCACGTGCCTGGCTTGGATGCCACTGTGGAGGGGAGAGTATAGCTTCAGGGAGCCAGGTGGGCCCTGCCAGTTCCCACCTGATGCCCTGGACCCCAAGCCTGGACGCACCGAACTCGGACACCTTCTCGCACTTGGCCTCCAGGTCACTGAGCAGGTCCCAGAGCTGGCACTGCTTGGCCAGGCGCTCACAGTCGCTAACGTGTTCCACACCGATGTCCAGGCGGCCTGGGTGCGACACAGGAAGCTCAGGACCCGAGATGAGCCCTCCGCTGTCCCTAGCACTGGGACTCCTGGATCTACTTGCTGCCTTGGGTTTCCTATCGGGAGCCACTGCCTGAGTTCTACAGGCCCCGGGACAGACAGGAGAGGGCTCAGTTTGCAGGCGGGACAAGCTCTTCCTGAGCAGACACACTGGCTCATTGTCTCCCAGCCCATCCAGGAGGCAGGTGGAACTGCCCCACAATGCAGGGGATAAGTACCAGGAGATAAAATGGGGGGTCCAAGGCTACAGGTGGGTCTGCTGCTAGACAGAAATACCGTCCCTGCCTGCCCACCCTGGGCCCAGAGATTCACCTGTGTACAGGTACTGCAACAGGGCCCCAAAGGCCACGGGGTTGATCTGTAAGCAGAGACAGTCAGGAGGAGAGGTCAGAGGTGGCCACACAGCACAAGCCCCCTGCCGTCTCAATGCCCCCTGGGGTGGACGCACCAGTGGATGCCTCAGGACCACGACGTTCTTGCCCTTCCATTTGGTGTCCAGCATGTTGGCAAAGTAGGCACTGCGCACACCCAGGACACAGCGATGTGCCCGGAAGGGCTTCCCATGCACGACAAAAACCACATCGCTATGGATGCCTTGCTCCAGAAGCCTGGGAAGGGGATGCGGAGGGGGTGTTCAGTGTGCGACTCCCCCCACTCTCAGCACAACAGCCCCCATCCCAGCCTGCAGAAGAGCCCTCAGCCCCACATCACTGTCCCACTCCACGCACACCCAGCCCTACACCCCATCTCACCGCTGCAAGAAGTCGTCGTAGTAGTCCCGCCTCCTGCAGGAGGCTGTCACCTGCTTATAGTCACGCAGGGCCCGGCGAATGGGGTCACTCAGTGCTCCATAGAGGCAGCGTTCCCCATCAAAGGTGTTGGCCTCACAGCGAGCTCCTGGGGGTAGCAGGGCTCACCAGTCAGCAGGGTCAGGAACATGCACACCGTGGCTGGGATAGGGCCTGGAGGAAATCCTCATCTCTCCCCCTGCAACCTTCCCACATGTAGGGCCCAGCCCTGTAACGTGGAGCCCCTTCCAAATTACCCTGGGCCCACTCTGACACTATAATCTCCCCTGCCAGGACCTAGGCACACAGGCACATCTGAGCACCACACACTAAAAATAGAGCAGGCTCAGAGACTGCCCTGTTCTATGCACTGGAGGAACAACCATAAACAGACAAGTACCTGTTCTAACTAAGCTGATATTCTAGTGGGGCAGTGGCCAATAAACAGGTTAATAAATGTCAGGTGCTATGAAGAAAAAGCAAGTAAGACAAATGGTAACAGCAGTTGTGGCTGCCACATAGTGAGGCCACGAAAGGTTGCTGTGGCCGTGACCGCATGCAGAAACCTGAATGGAATGAGGAAGTCAGCCATGCAAAGATCTGAGAAAGGGCCATCTAAACAGAAAGAGCAAGTGCAAAGGCCCTGAGGTAGAGGCAGACTTGGAGTGCCAGAGCACTGGAGAGGCAAGTATGGCTGGAAGACTGAGCACCTGGGGAACCAAAGGAGGTGAGGCCAGAGCGGGAACAGCAGGTCAACTTAGAAGCACAAAGACTGGCAAGGCATTCTAGTTTTATGCTAAATACAAAGGCAATCTTTGGAGAACTTAAAGCCTATCAGGCTTAGGAGACCCACCAGGCTGCATTATGGAGAACAGACTATAGGTGGGGCAAAAGGGACAGTCAGGAGACCAGAGAAGGCTGGCTTTGAGGCTGGGGAGATGTGCTGTAGTTGGGCTGGGTGGTGGCAGTGGAGATGGGGAAGTGCATAAGGCAGAAAATAGGTTCTGAAAGTAGAACCAACAGGACTTGCTGACTGGATGTGTGTGGGGGTGACGGAAAGACAGGACTTGATGGTGTCTGCAAATGCAATACACACACACACACACACACACACACACACAGCCTCAGCCCCCCTCTCTCACCATTGGCCAGAAGATAGAGTACTAGCTCCTCGTGCCCACACAGGCAGGCATAATACCTGAGGGAGGAAAAGGAGTACAGGAGGGAGTTACCAGGACTGAAAGCCCCCGCCCCACACCTGCCATGACCACCCACCCAGCCGGCACTCACAAAGGGGTGCTGTCCCACTTGTCCCGCACATTCACCTCCACGTCCCGTTGCTCCAGCAGGTACCTAGGCGGGGAGGAGGTCAGAGTCCGAGTCAGGACACTTTCATGGTCTGTGAGAGGAGACCCACAGACTGGGGAAAGAGAGAAAACATCCCTTTTGGCTGAGGGAAGTCTCCCCTAGGTGAGGGCAGATGACAGGCAGACCAGAGCAGGAAAGGCATTTGAAGCAAACGGACCAACATAGGTAGACAAGGTGTAGAGCTGGGAACTCAAAAGGCAAACACTGAGCCTCAGAAGCAGGACCCCAGAGCCCAGTAGGTCGAGAGTCTGGCCTGAAGGCATTTGGGAGAGAGAAGCTGATGACGGGCATCTGTTCTGCCAGAGCCCTCGGGCTGCTTGGGCCAGCAGACTGGACCAGGGAGACTGGAGTCAGGGAGACCAAGAAGGCTGCTGCAGGTGTCCGGGTGGTGTGGAAGCGTGAAGAGAAGTGAACAGATTCTAGAATCCAGAAGTCAGGAGACATGGTAGCCAATGGCATGTAGGAGGCGAGGAGGGCCATCAAGGATGGTGATGAAGCCATCACTGAGGGCAGGAAGCCTGGGGTAGACGTCCAAGCTGGCGGGGAGTGCTCTTGAGTTGCACTCAGCTTCAGGGGTTATCAGCTAACTCCTAGGTGACACCTGCTGCTGGGGGGCGGGGGGACGGGGACCAGGGACGCTGTGGGAGTCAGGAAGCCTGGGACCAGCCCAAGGGAGGTAGTGGTGGGTCAGATACAAGGAACAGGGAGGGAAGGGCCCACGAAGTGAGATGCCCCACATCCCAAACAGGCACCCCGTCACTCCCTGTTCTATGGCGATTTCTACGCAGATTTGCTTTAACTACACTTAGGAGTTTCCCAAATCTCCAGGGATCAGAGGTTAATTCTGGGTCCTAGGTGTTCCCAGCATGCCAGTCCCGGAGCGCATCAGCGCGAAGAGCCAGGTTTAGAGTCCCGGGCCCGCCTCGGGGTCTGACCTCCCGGTCCTGAGCACTCAGAGGGCGACCCTCCTCTCCGCGGCTCCGCGTAGCAGTCCTCTCCTCCGGGACCCCAGGGAGTAAAACACCCCCAGCACTCCGTCCTGGCGCACCCCGACTGGGAAAGCTGCCTCGGCACCCTGCTGGGGCACCCAGGCGCTCTTGCCCGATGGGGCCGTCTATGGTGGGTTCAGCGCGGGGGCTGCGGCGGCGCAGAGGCGCGCGCCTGTCCCGAGCCGGTCCACCGCACGCACCGGGGCCGGCGGCGCCCCTCCCACCCCGCACCCCCCGGGGGCTGCGGGGTCCTCACCGCACTCGGCCCACATCCCCCTTTCTGCAGCTGGCGAAGAGGTCGCTGGTGTCCATGATGCGGGCAGCTCGGACCCGGGCCGAACGACCTCAGGCGTCGGTGGCTGCAGCGGCGGCGGCGGCGACGCGCCCCGGCCGGATGTAAACACACGCGGCCCCGCCCCGCTCCGCAGCGGCGCCTGGCGCCCGGAGGACCGACCCGGGCCGCGCCGCCCCGCCCCCTGCGCGCCCGCCCCGCCCCGCCCCGCCCCGGAGCAAGAATGAGTACGGCAGGCGAACTGGCTGGGCCCGGCGTGGTCTCCGGGCGGGTTTAATGGGGGTCCCGGGGCGCGGCCGGGGAAGCGGGGCCGTTCCGGAACCGGCCCCTTGGGGCGTCAGGTGGGAGTGGGGAGGGCTGTGCCGAGACTGTTCCGTGAGTCGGTGGGAAGCGGGAGGACCCCGCACCGAGGGCCGGGCTGCGGAAGAGCGGCCGGGACCGGGAGGGGAGGGGAGGCGCGGCTGACCGCTCCGGGTCCACCCGGCTCGTCCCGGCGCAGCCCCAACTGGACGACGGCACGGTCGCGGGGTCACAGCGGGCCAGAGCTGTCGGCGGGCGGGCTCCCTCACAGGTGCGTGTCCTCCTCGAACACGTCCGAGTCCTCGGGGTCCCGCTTGCCTCCCATGAGCGCGCTCCAGCCCCCCGGGCCGTTGACGGCCCCACCGCCGTTCAGGCTGGGCTGCTTCTCCTGCATCTCCGACTGGCTGTCGCTGGCCACGTCCAGCGTGGGGTTGTCGTGGCAGCCGTTCTCTACGAAGCGCAGCTCCTCGCCGTGTGACTGCGGCGGTTGGGAGAGAGCCGCTGGGCGAGCGCCCCAACCCAAGCCCCCCACCCGCCGGAACAGCTCCGAGCACACGGCCTGGAACCATTCACTGTTCCTTCCCTGGTCTGTGAGACGGGACACAGGGAACCCCCAGCAGACCCTCGAAAGATGTCCGTTCCCTTCTGTCCTGTTCCCACAACCAAACTCCTGATGAGACTTTGCACTCAGCAAGCGGGGGGCCTCCCTGACACCATCTGATCTCTCCCCACAGCCCCCACAGCCCCCACTGCACGTCTAGCACCTATGAATGGGCAGGTGCCCTGCAGACAGGAGGGATAAACTGCGGGGGAGGCTCTGGACAAGCAGCTTCAGGAGCAGACCCCCATCCCAGGACAATTACTGCCACCCCACCTGCAGTGTGGACAGTGAGTCTTGGATGACTGAACCTGCTGGGTACTCTCTCCTCCATAGGCAGAACCCCCAGCCCAAGCCCTCCTGCCAATGTGCCCCCATGCTCACCACATGTTTGAGCTTGGGCAGCCGGCGCTGCCAGCAGTTATAGAGCAGGCCCAGCACGATGATGATGACACAGATGGCACCGATGACCACCAGCACCACAAAGAGCGTCCCATAGTCACTGCGCACCTGGCTGGCCCGTGCCTGGCAGCTGCTTGTAGTGGAGTAGTTCTGGATGCCAATCTGGGGGTGGGAGGGGCCAGTTTCCCCAGCTGAGGTCCTGGGTGTCAGGGCTCCCCACGGGGATCTAGGGTTGGGGCTCAGGGATGGGGGACAGGCTTTGAGAAGAGTCGGCATGCTCCTGACTATGCGCTCTCAGAGGCCTGGACCTGTGCTCATCTGGGACTCCATCCCTGTCTCTGCCCAATCGCCATCCGTTCACCGGATGGCAACCCCAAGCCTCCTGATGCTATGCCTCCATTCCCAACCTCCCCTCACATCCCCTCCATGGCTCTGCCCTGATCCTGTCCCTGTTGGGGCAGACGTCTGCCTCCCCTAATGATTCAGGTCCCTGAAACACAGCTTCTACCTTGAGTGTGGAGGTGTTCTGTCACCATTATGGACAGTGCAGATCAGGATGCTGAGGACAGCCTACATCCTGGGCCACCACCAGCCTCCCAGCTTCCCCCCTTTTCCCACTAAGAGTGGGTGGTGACCAATGGCCCACCACCCACTTGGCTGGCCAGTACCTCTGCTACAGTGCAAGCTGTCCTGGGTGGGCTGCTCTTCTCAGGCCTAGAGGCTGCTGCACCCCTGCTGGGCCAGGCAGGTGCACTCTCCACAAATGAGCACCTCAAGCAGAGAGCAGGAAAGGGGAGGTGCTATCCTCATTGGATGACAGGTGCCAGGGTGAGGGGGCTATCTACTAGCTTCCAATGCAACAGCCTGGGAGCCACCCTTTCTGCCTGGAACTCCTCTACATGAGGCCAGGTCTCATCTCTGCCTGGGTGTCTGTGAACATCCTGTCTATTTCCAGTACTTTTCTTTACTGACTTTTTAAATTATCAAAGATCAGTTTCTCTTGCTAGGTTCAGCCACCTAACTAAAATTGCTAAATTTGCCAGACCAGGTCAGTCTGAATAGTGCCCGGCAAAGCTAGAACACCCAGGGGCAGGGAGAGGCAGGAAGTTTCTGTGGGAAAAAAAAAAGATGAAGACCAGCCCAAGTTTCCACCTGTCCGCCCATCCCAGCACCCTGTGTTCATGAATCCAGAACTTAACAACTGGGAAGTCCCTTGGTAACCATCCAGGTAGTAAGGACAACATTGTGCTTAAAGGCCTGGGCTCTTAAATCCTTCAGGCCTGGTCCAAAGCCTGGCTCTGCTGCTTCCTGGCTGTGCGTTCTCGGGCGAATCACTTCCCTTCTGTGGGCTACAGCTCCCATCTTAAATAGGACACCAATGGTACTCAACAGGGAACCCTGTTTAATCCTCACGAGGCAAGGGCTGGCGCTGAGGGCTGGGTGAGAGAACCCAGCGCAGTCTGGCACTCAGTAAGCATTCAGTGTGCTTATCAAAAAAACCCCAAACCACCAGCACAACCACCTTTCCGCCTTGCGTGTGACAGATAAGGAGGTGGGGTGCACGGTCATGCACAGCTCATCTTTCCCAGCTGTGAAATACTGCAGAGCCTGGGAGAAAGGAGAGGGCTGATGCCAGGTCACTGGGTTTCACAGTGAGCAGTTGGCATGATGGCTGTCCTGGGGAAAGGAGGAGAGGAACCCCCAAGGTCTTCCCCACTAAAGAAAGTGCAACAAGGAGCAGGAAGACCAAGGAGAAGGACCGAGGGGGGGCTGCCCCACCCACAGGCCCTGGCTCTGCTCAACCCTACACAGGGGTGGCTGGCAGTGCAGGAGACAGGCTGGCCAGAGTGTTGCTCAGCTCATGTCTCTAGGACCGGCCATGCAGATGGCCAACTGCACTGGGTCAGGGCTGCTCCTCAAGATGGTGGGGCTGTCCCCTGAGCACGAGCCCTGTCCTGCCAGATGATGCCTGACTGATGGCTTCTGAAGCATGCCCACGCCTGTTGTGTTTTCTTTTGTGGTTTCTGAAACTGCATCACGCTCTCCTATCCCACGAGGCCTCTACCCAATTCCTAGGGCAATTCCCACTTACCCACAAGACTCCCACTGACCAGTCCAGATCCCCCTTGGAGGTCCCATTCCTTCTGAGTTCTATCCGGACTACCACCCGCTCCGGGCCCTTTCGCAAACTGCGGTGGTGCATACACATTCCGAAGCATTCGTGCACTCCATCTCTCCCGCGGGAACTGTGTCTTAGGAGGACTGAAAGGAGGAGCTGTGCGGAGCAAGAGCTGGACTTCTGCTCCTTTGTACCATGTGCCGGCTATCTCCCACCCTCAGTGAAGGCATCCCTGCTCCCAGAGCTGTAAGGAATGAGAGGGGAATAGGTCCCTGCCTTCTTACCTCCACCAGATTCCTGCGGATGTCACCCAGCATGGAAAGGACATCTTGAGTGGGCACCACCCCTGGGGGTAGACACCATCATCAGCACAGCCTTGGCTACTGGGGCACACCCAACTCCCTGGGATAACCTTTGGCCTAAGACTCCAGAGGCTTGTTTCCCTGCTCCTGACCACATGTAGACCCCATGGTGTATGCACTTCCCCTCTCCCCAATGCTCGCTTTCCAAAGCCTGCCTCATTGCAAAGGAGTGAGTGAATGGGCACCATGTGACAGGTGGGACACCAGGCGGTCACTCCCACAGCCCCACACTGCTGCATTCTGAACACGCTCCCTCTGCAACCCACCACTCCTGTGCAATGCCTATTGTCTCCTGCCGTGGTGCTGAAACCACACCTTTCCCCCTCCTGGTCCCCACGTTTGCACCCTCCTCCTCTTTGCCAGAATTCCAGTTCAACTCCAGTTGAACCCTACATCAGGGGCCCAACCACTACCTCTTGTTGCAATCCTAAGGTCCAAGGTCAAAGCCTCTGGGTGCTTTCCTGTGGTTCTGTAGACCTCCCGCAGCCCGCGAGAAATGGTTTGATGCTGCCTCCCTGGGCCCTCCCTTCCCTGTGCTGCCCCCACTCACCCTGCTCGCCCACCAAGGTCATCAGAAGATGCTGCTCCTTCTCACTGGGCTTGCTCAGGGAGATGTGCCAGTCCCCGTGGCGGCCACTGCCATGGCGGGGCAGCACCTCCTCCACCAGGGCCAGGAGCTGCAGCCCTCGGTGCTGCCGGAACACTTCCTGCAAGGACAGAAAGAGAACCCCCCACCCAGTAAGCAAGAGGGCTCTACTGACACCCCACCTCCGGGTCTAGCCCCCACTCCAGCCTCCAACCTCCCAGTGGCCAAACCCTGGGAAAGGCCATCTGGCTATTCCAGAGGGGACTGCTCTTACAGACCTGGAGACCATCGAGATGCTTTGAGCCCAGCCTTTGGGCAGAACTGTGGGAACGTCAAGACACACATCCACTGGGCATCCAGATGTTCCTTCCTGCCTGAGCCTCTCACATGAGGAGGGTGTGGGGACTGCTGGGGGATACTTGCTATTGAACTTGAGGACAGATACATTCCAGTGCAACAAGTCTTGAAGTGGGTGTGTCATGTGTGATGGCCTACGGAAGTCTGCTGATCAGGCCTGAGTATTCAAGTGTACAGCGCAAGGGATGAATATACTGGGAGGTCAGGCATGCAACAGATCAAAGATGCACCCCAAACCCAGGAGGAGAAGTGGGGAGCAGTAACAGGCTCACCTCTCGCCCGTCATTGCAGAGATACAGCCCAAAGCGGGGGAGTCAAGAAAGCTGTCTGAGTACTCTTACAGTGGCACTGGTGG